TCTTTTTACTCTTCAAATGGAGGACATCACAAATATTGAAAATTTTGATAACTCTTATCTTACAGCAGTGTTTGCAAATTGGAAAATCACAACAAATGAGGAAAGGTATATTTTCAATGTGCATCTCCTAAACTTTTTTTAATTCCACAAAGTTTCACATTTATCATTTTGAAGGAAAAAATATGCATTTCTTTAGGGATTCCTATAGGCACCTCAATCAACAGGTTGTATTACCGTCAACCAAAAACTAACAGGCGATGGTTTAATTATATATGATGCTACTGAGCTATTTTCTGATATCGATGTATCTAACATGATTACTTGGAAGTCACAATTCTCTTTAGATACTATCATTGAATTATATGTTCAATATACAAGATCCTTTGATGAAATAATGATGCTTTTAAACCCTTCTGTTTCTACCTCTTCCGCAAACTCAAACAACATCCCTTCCTCTAAAGCTATAATTTACTTTTGTGGGCTTGTTCAACGTGCAACCATCATGGAAAGTCAAAATGGTTTTCGCCTTACTTTTACATGTTTAAACCCTAGAACAATGGTAATTGAACATACATGGTCTTTTGATCGACTATATGAAAACATTACTCAAGTACTTCACTATGGATATCGCAAACAAATTATTGAAATCAACTATCGTCGTCCAATTCGGGTGCAAAACCAAAAGATCATTCATGACTCAGTACAAAAAAAAATCGATGTTGATATGGCCCAAATGATCAATCGCTGGAAAAAAAACACAATCTTTACACCCAACTCTGCAACGTGAACAAACATGGGAAAAATTTGAATTGTTTGTTCAAGTTACGACTATATGAAGGGCAACATCTGAAGAAATCATTCATGACTTAGAAGATAATACACATATGTTGACAAACACGAGATAACAAGGTCTACATTTGTTTCGCGGTTTATAATATGATTATTCAATTATCATTTATCTTGTATTATTTCTAATTTAGTTGAGTTTCATATTAACATGTATTGTTTCAATTATGCATCATTAATCTATGATCTTTTAATATTTTATATCATGAACATATATCTATAAATACAAAAATATAAATATATATTAATTAAATATAAAAATATATGATTATATATTTATAAAATCTATACAAATATATATATATATATATATATATATATCTTTATTAAATATACAAATACATGTATTTATTAAATATCTTATTTAATTATTAAATCTATAATCTTGTAATTTGTTTTTATTTTTCTAATTTTTTACATCAAAGTTATTATTAAATAAAATATTATTCATATACTTTCTTATATAAATTAACTTTCTATTTATTATTCCTATAAATTATCATTTTTATCAAAAATTCTCTTCAACTAATTTATATTAAATAAAATTTAAATATGATATATATATATATATATATATATATATTAATTAAATATATATGCATTTACTATATTGATAAAAATATATTAAACATATAATTATATAAATAAATGTTTAAAGTATATATATTTATATAAATATAATATTTATTTACTAAAAGTATTTTTTATTAAACAAATACTTAAATATTATATAAAAAAATATTATCATATGTATACATATATATACTAAAAATATAAATATGTATTTATTAAGTGTATAAATATATATATATATATATATATATATATATATATAGAAGTATATATAAATATATTAAACATATAATTATACAATATATTTTTATTATATAAAATTATATATTTATATTTATTATATATTATATTTAATAAAGTTATAATGTATATAGCAAAATATAATATGTATTTACCATATTTATAAAAATATAATATATATATATATATATATATATATTTCTATAAAAAATATTATTTTTATTTATTAAAATTATTTCATATTAAAAATATACTTAAATAATATATATAATTTATTTATGTAAAAATGTTATATAGAAAGATATAAATATATATTTATTAAATTTTATTATATTTATAAAAATATAAATAAATATTTAAATATTATATATATATATATATATTAAATATACTTGTTTTTACTATATTTATAAAAATATATTAATAGTATAATTATATAAATATATTTTTATGTTATTTAAAAATATATTTATATTTATTTCATATAATTATATAAATAAAAATTTAAAATAAATATATATATATATATAATATTTATATATTTATTATATATTTTTTTTATTTATTTAATAAATATTAATTTATTTTAAAAATTATATTAATTAGTGAGCCTCTAGAAGTCGAATTCCAACCTGTGTGAAAATGTTATGTAAATATTCATGGAATCATGTTATCTATGTATTACTAATTTATGAGTGTATTATAGAAGAAAAAAAAATCACGATTTTATGCTATGGTAGTTCAGTTATTAAACTCTTAAAATCCTCTTTTTCATGATCTTATTAAGCCTATAGATTTCATTTTCTTCGGAAGCTCACAAGAGACATAACTATAAAACTGGTCAACTATGATAACAAGAACAAGTTGCATAGATAAATACCACACCATTAAAGCTTCATCAATAATCCCTATTCCCACTGAAGAGGTTCAAATAGTGGGACAAACACTTGAAAATTTTATCTTATGGCCAGTTTCATTAACAAGACTCATCCCAACACCTGCACAGGTTGTGTCATGCATTTATCCCTTTTACTTATTATTTTCTCGATATGTTGATGTATAATAATGTTATTTATTTTTGGTACTTGTATAGAAAGAGGCTGAAAAAGCAAAGAAAGTTGTGCATGAATCACCACCACCTTTGAGTGTTTTACAGCGACTCGGTGCACTAGCAGCGACTATCGGGATCACTCCCATACAGTTAGATATGCCACCCGAAGTTGTAGGCAGGACCAAGGCAATCCCTTTTTTCCTACTCCAAAGGGATCTCTTTGATATTCTCACTAGTACTGATCTGCTATGTGTATCAATGTTGCAGCTTTGGAAAATGTAAGTAAATTTTGATTTAACTTCATATGTTACATAAATTAAAATCATTGTACATTGTTTTGTAACTTTATTTATTTTCAATTTTGAAGGTATTTATATCGTTTGTGTGTTGAGAGGAAGAATGTCTTTATCTATGGATTTATTGACCCTGTTGTCATTCAGTCCGTTAGGAATAAAGCTGAAATGGAGGCAAAAAAGTCTACTTAGCACCTTACTTGCATCAGTAAGTATACATCTTACAAATTAATGCACATTTATGTAAAACTAAAATTTTACTAATATTATTTCAACGTGTAGGGGTCATTGGCATCTCCTAGTCATTGTTCCTCGACAATTTCTTGTGGTTCTCTTGTGTTCATTACACAAGAAACCAAATGATTTGGATATTAGAAAGCACATAGACGCGTAAGTTTTGTATTTTTAATTGTTGTATCATATGTGCACTTACACCAAAATTGGGTTCTATTATAATTATTTCATGTCCTTTTGTAGAGCTTTGGAAGCTCACCTCAGGTCGTGAGGCCTTCCATCTCATGCTAGAAAGAAGTTGACGTATATTGCACCAAAGGTGATCACGCATTCCTCTTATTGTTGTTCAATTGGTCATTTACATTTAATCTAACATGTATTTAACTTGTAGTGCCCACGCCAACCAAGAAGCCATGAGTGCGGGTATTATGTGATGAAACACATGCACACCATCATATCCGCAAACATTATTGACTCATGGAGGGAAGTAAATATACTACAATTAAGTCAAATATGTCAATTATGTAAATGGTTTCTAAATCTGAAATATTTCATTATGTAGGATTTCATAAACTCCTCTGCATTGAAGATTCAAGTGTTAGACGACATTCGAGAGCAGTGGACTTCTTTTCTTTTAAGTATTCAATCTTCATAGCAAATTTGACTTGTAATAATTTTGATTGAATTCATTTAAGTTAGCAAATTTACTTTCATTTAAGTAAATGAAAGTATGTTTCATATGTGTTGTGTTGTGAACTGTTTGGAATTGTGAATATTTGTCTGGAACTATGATGAATAGGCAGATCTATTTGATTAAATTCACTTAAGTTAGCAAATCTTCATTCGTTTAAGTAAATGGTGTATGTTTTATATGTGTTGTGTTGTGAACTGTTTGGAACTGTGAATATCTGTCTGGAACTGTGATGAATAGGCAAGTCTGTTTGATAAATGGGTAGGAACTATGATGAATAACTGAAACAAAACGTTCCTTTATAAAAAAACACATTTTTTATGTCGGTTATAACATTAATCGACGTAAAAAATTTACTTTTTACGTCGATTAATGATATAACCGATGTAGAAAGTCTAACCTTCTATGTCGGTTACCTATATAACTAAGATTGATATCACCTACAAAAATGGTTAATGTTAAAATTGATATAAAAAATATTACTTTTTATGTCAGTTAACAATATAAATCGACATATAAAATAAAACTTGTTACGTCAATTAATTATATAATCGTCGTAAAAAAATCTTATTTTTTATGATTCATGTTGTTTTTTTAATCCACCTAAAAAATCCATTTTAACCGATATAGAAACTTGTTTGCAGTGAGTGGACTAACAGGAGTTTGTTCATATTGGTAAGGGAACTGAATATATCGTTTTCCATTCAAAAGAAAAAGTTAAAATTTGTTTATCATACTTAGTGCTTTGAATAGATAAAACTTTCTTAATTATTCTCCACGTTAATGGTAAATTGGATTGCAGTTTTTCCATTGTGTCATTTCTATAACGCTATATATATTTATTCTAGTTAGGCTGTTTTGAGTTTAAAAAAAATTAGGTTGTGTTAGATTTTACAGAGAAAATGCGATGATCGAATTAGATCATCCGGTCATCAGCCACCGTTACTCCCAACCTAATTAAGATAATGTAACCTATATTTCTTATCTACATGTGTATGTGCAGTTTGACTTAATAATTTGAACTTCAACCAACGTCTCATTTCATTACTTGATTTTTGACAGTAACAAAAATTTACATAATACGATCCGACAAAGAGGGCAGTCTTCTAAAGAAGTTCACCGCCGGCGAGGGCAAGCGGTCACGGAAGACAGGGTGTCGGAGGTAGTAAAACCCCGAAGCCATAGCCACCATCTTCGACGGCACCATATAAAGCACCATTGCCACCATCAAGCACATGAAGACAAACATCCCCGTTGCGCGTGGGTCCCGCCATGTCACCACCGCTTGCACGCGCTCCCCCTGGGTCGCCAAATCGCCCAGAACCGTCTGCACGCGCGCGCCTAGCGTCCGCAGCCTCTCATACCTCACGCTCACCACCTCACTCTCCCTCCCACTAGGCACGGCGTCGAACTCCTCGTCCAGCTCCTCTCTCTCCACCACCTCCGCCAGCGAAATCTTTGGATCAAAATGCGGCAACGGATCACGTGCCCGGAATCTGTAGTTCCACGCGCCCACCACGAAGCCATAGAAACAGAAAGTCGGAATAATGAGGTCAGGGAACCACACTAACATCACTAAGAGCGCGTGCACCAGAACTGTGGCCATTGGATTCCTCCATCCGCGCGTGTCCTCTACCCACCGCACGATGTCAATCACCCCCGCCACCACGTTTATTATCCTGTACCAGTTTGCGCGCACTTTCCTCATGCTGAAGTTGTGCGAATCCGCGTCCAGCATGTAAAATACCACCTCCTTCCTCAGCGGCGGCTCCGCCCTCGCCAAGTGCCCCGCCACCAATCTCACCGCCGTGCTCCGCAGTGCCTCCTGCTGCACAACCCCTAACGGTTTCATATGGTGCATTGAAGGTAACATCGGCTGCAAGTAAACGTGGAGGAGATCCAGCCGCTGTGTCGTGCGAACGAACCTGATCGCTATCTCGATTTCACCCATTTTTTTCAACCCCACTTCGGGAGTTAGCATCAGTAGCGGGTACGTATTTCTATACACTCTCCCTGTTTGCAGCGTAGAAATACGTACTCGTACTTTTCCTATACGGAAATCAGGTTCGCTAGGGGTTTGATCACGATTCTGGTCGTTATCGTTATCAACGATCATTGGCACTGACCAACTATCGAATACTCCAATAGTTAAAACAGTTGAGGGATCGTAAACCTTCCATGTGTACTGTTCATTCCACCTGGGTTCTGTGTTATCCGAAACTGTTCGCGTACGAACCCATTTGTTACCGTACTTGGCCACGCAGTACGCGTTGGTGGTGGCTTTACCGTTTACCGTCTTTATCGGTAGCAAGTTCTTGCAACCGATAATGCCGAGCTCGCACGTTCCAACCGGAGGCTTCCACAGCTGCCTTGCCGTGGGGCGGTAGTCGCTGCACAGGTGCGCTGCCTCGTCCATCACGTGGTACCCACCGTCGAAGCACAAGCGCAGGTGCACCCTGGGCATGCTCGCTTTGCAGGTGTGGTCATCGTTCTCGTTGGGGTTGTCGAACGTGAACCACCGCGACGGGACGATCCGGTCATCCACCCTCCTCTCTATAGCGAGCAAAGGTATTCTCAGAACGCCCACTGTCACCGGCGCTTCCGGTTGTCGGTTTTCCAAAGTAAACACGAGGTGGTCGCTCACTGGCTCTGCCACCACGAATATGAAATCTTCACCGTTCCATGAAACGTTTCCATTTCGAGTTACCACCATTTTGGATTTCAGTACCTGGAATTCCAGTTTGGCCTTCACCTGAAAACACGCTTCCTTGGACGTATTCAACTGCGGAAGAAGGTCTTGAGCTTCGACAAGAGTGGCGCGGAGATACCACAGTTTCGGCGACTGATAAACTTTGGCTCTGGCATTGACATTAGCAACTGTGTCGCTCTTCCACGCGTCGGGAAACGATTCGTCAGCTTGTGTTCCTATCCACGTGGCAATCATGAGGTCGCTGTGCAGGGCCCCACCGCCTTCCAACCTGTACCACTGTGGGGCCAGCGGGCTGTCTGGTGGGTCCCGCACTGGAATCTCATTCACGTCAAAACACACCCCACCAAATAAAGCTTCAGACGCGGGTGGGTCCCACACGGAGATTTCGAGGACCGAAGAGGAGATGGAATCCGGAGAGTCGCGGGCGAAGGCGAATGTCTGGTTCCATTCGAACACGGTGGTTTTGCGCGCTGGCCTGGACGTGACGTGGTGCTGTCCCGAAATCGCGATCTTCGCGACGGGGCTACCCTTGGTGGGAAGGTACCGCGCTTTCACCACGTGCACGAACAGGTAGTGCATCTTCTCAACAAGATCAAACGACGACCGTTCCATCAACACGCTGCTCTCACTCGACGCCTCTGACGCTGCGAAACTCGTCGCTGACGCAGACCTTTTCAACGCCGGAGGGGGAGGACCGTTAATTCCCCCGAACCTTATTTCCGAATTTGACCTTGACACAGACTGTGCCTTCACGTCCAAATTCACATCAGGTGGTAACGGATCCACCTCATCTCCACCTTCTAACGGTTTTTCATCATTTTCAGCTTGTTTTTCCTCTGGTTCTGGTTCTGGTAATTTTTCAGATACAGTTGGATCTGGAAGTGGTTTAGTTTCTGTGTTTTCTACTTCTTTAGGTTTCTCACCTTCCGGTGGTGGTGGAGGTGTTTCTTGTACTTTCTCCACCGTCTCCGCTTCCTTCTTCGGCGGTGCTTCCTCTTTTTGAGGTGGAGGAGGAATTACCTGTTCGTTGATGTAATAGATTTTCAAACCAATTTCGCCTTGGATCATGCTGAGCAAGTGCTTTTTCTCCAACTCGTAGTAAACCAAAGCCTCTTCGCCTTTGTTGACGAACTGCGAGGAGCTGAGGCGGATTCTACCGAGGGAGTTGTTCCTCCGTGTGGCACCGTAGTTCTTGTCGTGGTAAACGTCGAGTTCGAGCATGTCGCCAAAGATGTGAGACTGAGAGTGCCCGTCGACATTGAACGACAGCGTTTCATTCCAGACTGGGTTCAAGTCTCGAATGGCGGTCCGAGTCTTCCTCCGCTGGCCATTGAAGTCGACCACCACGTAGGGACTGGAGCTGCCGTGCCCGTCCTTCGGGACAAGGTGGTGAGCGTCCACAACTTCCACGATGAGTTTTCGAACGGCGCCCATTCTCTCTTAACTTTGTTTCAAGACGGTGCGTTTGAATAGTGTATTGCTTGTCTATCTCATGGCCTAACTAATAGAAACGGTATCTTGGAAGTTCGAGGTTCGAAACAAAAAGGATGCATTTCGATTATAGAAGGTGCATATATAAATTTAGAATAGTAAGGTAGAAAAGATGTTCGTGTTGATCACGAAACCATGCATATATTTATATTATTTATATAAAATTTTTCTTTATTTCTTTTCATAGATCACATATTCTTTATGCCGTCTTCCTTTATCTCATTACAAATTTATTTTATAAGTATATTTCCAAAATAATAGAATTTAATTTTATTCTTTATGTTATGCCAAAAATCACTTTTAGAAATGTTAAAATACATAAAGATTAATATCAATAAAAAGGTTTAAATTTAAAAGTGAAATAAAATTATATTTTCTAGAGTTATAACTATCTTTTATCCTTAATTTTATTTTAATAAAACTAATCATATTAAGATACATTGGAATTCTTACAATGTGAATTTGTGGAGTGGGAGTGATAGTAAAAGTGTGGGTGCCTATCTTGATCTGCAAGCACCTTTAGACCTTTGAAGCTTTTGGGGTCTTTTTGTCTGTCACTATATTTTATTACTATTTGGTTTTTGCTTTGCGTGTTAGGGATTTACAGAATTATATCGATACACCTTTCTTAAAAGAAAAAAAAGAGAGAGAGAGAGAGTATATAATACGATAATTAAAGTTACGAGATGAGATAGGACATCATATTAAAGAAAATATGATGTAACTTTAGTATGTTTCAATTAATTTTCAAATTAGAATTTAATATAAAAGGGATAGAAAAAATGTTAGCAGAAGTAGTTTTACTCCATTAATTGGGTTTTTTCTTAGCAGCGAAGATTCTTTGTCAAACTTAGCCTTTGCTTTTGGGCCGTCCCTCTAACTAAAGCATTGTAATAAAAATGACGCGGGAATGCTGCGACCAATGAATAGAGATGGAGGAAACAGATCCCTTTTTCTCTTCATGGAAGTGGCTTTTGTCTCACCGACCCTAACATTCTGGTCATCAAATGAATGGACACAGCTTTAGTATCGTTATTATTATACGTAATTTTGACGAAGACATGACACTACCTATACCTTTTCACACGACCCTAGGAGGGAGGATCCCTAATTCTTGATATCATAAATTGCACCAGCATTTCATCTGTTTTTTTTTTTTTTTAACACGCTACTGAGTTGTAAAGCACACGCTTTTATATTATTACTATTTAAAAATACTTTATATTTAATTTTACAAAATAAAATATACTTTGATTTTTGTAAATTATACTATTTATTTTTAAAATGTTTATAAAATGTTTTATATTAATTTTATTTAAGTAAAATTTAAACATGATTTTTTAAAATTTTTTAATTTTATTAATCGTGCTTGCATAAAGAATGAGATAATACTTGGTTAATGTGTGAAATATATTTTATTATTTTAAAAACTCTCTCTCATAAATACTACTTAAGACAAAAAAAGAGGAGTTCTTTTATTATAAAAAAATATAAATAATTTCAATTAAAATTTATATATATTATAAAAAATTAACATAATGAATAAGTTTAACCTAGACAATTAATAAACTCTGTTTTAATCACTTTCATTTTAGAATTTACTAAATCAAGTTATTTTGAATGTTTGAAAGAGAAAAATTCATCTACAAAGATACTTTGACAGGATCTTTAAGTTAGTAGAAGAGAAGAATAATAGTGATAATAGAAAATAAGATTTAAAGAGTAGAGTAGTTCTACTTATAGACTTCTTATTAGGATATTTTAGATAATACATTATACTTGTTTTAATGTTATTTAATGTTTCAATTGAATTATATTCTCTTGTTTATAATCGAGTAATTAAGTATATTATTTCATACATTATAATTGAATTAATATGCAATTAACATGATTTATATGAAAAATGTATTTATTTATACCACATAGTATCAAAATATATGACTAGGTGCATAAGTCTCTTGAGTTAAAAGTCTAACTCTAATGTAATCAAGTAAGGAGACTAAGTGAATCAAATTTAGGAAATATTATAAGATTTATCAAGTTATGATGATATCCACATTATTCTTTAGTTTATGTGAGTCATTATTTTTTTTTTCTATTATCGGTGTGACTAAGTTGGTTGAATGATTATTTGTTGAGTTATATTTTATCCAAACTATCAATTTATAAAGTATCATTAAAGTCAATCTGAGTTTGATTTGAACAATGATCCAAATGTGTCCAATTTAAAGTTATTACTAAGGTGTACTTAATCTAGAGTTATTATCAAACTATTCAAAGTATAGAAAACATTTTTTTTAAGTATACAATAAAGACAGTCATATTAATGTCATAAATATATGACATTTGGATAATAACATAAAGATTAACGATTGTTCTATATTTATGACAATGTATTTCATATGGTGATACATGTATCACTACATATTATTATTTTGACGTAATGATATGCTTAGATAACACATAATTAGATTTTAATGTACAACTCAAATAATTTGATATAAAGTTGAATTAACTATTTATTTATTTAAGATAAGTTACAAATACTTTTGTTATAAACTTGATAAGCTATGAAGACTTCACATTGTTGATGTGTTGTGATAGCTACATTTATTGACAATGTACTATGATAATTATGAGGAATGATAGTGTGTTGTGATAGCTATTTTTAATGGTAACATATTATGATAGATTTAGTTATAACATGTGATAATTATGTTTAATGATAACGTGTTTTGATAACTATGTTCTTTCGTTCTAATTTTTGCTAAATGAGTAAGCGGACATATTTCATAAGTAAGGAAAATTGTTGCAATTGCACCTTTTCATGTTAGTATGAAGCTAAATGGATTGGTACTAATGAAATATTTTGGTGAATTTTGATCGTTACATCCTTTAATATTAGCTCACTTTTAGGAAGAAAATTTATTATTATGAGTTTAACAAGTATCATGCTTTCACATTAGTTAATTGCTCGGAGGATTTTTTGATAAAATATGAATTTACCTTCCTTGTGTGATTACTAATATATTGTTCTAAGTTCAAAAATTCTTTTTTTGATAACTCTTCTAGGTTATATGTCTCATTTTGTAGGAAATTCATTATATGGATTGTCTTAATTTAGGACAAGTTTTTTTTTTTTTTTTTTTTAGAATTAAAGTAGGCAATGTAAGACATTTTCTAGTATTACTGAGGACAATTAAAACAAGGGATGTGACTTAGACTAAGAAGATGTCTTTTTACTTTGATAATAACTACTCTTTTTTTTTTTTTTTTTTTTTTTTTTTTTTTGCATTTGTATCTCATTTTTGACATTATAATATATTTTTGAAAGAGTATTAAAAGAATCTTTGAGATTTAATAACAAAGAGAATTATTATTTTTTTTAGATGAATCAAAATTCATTTCTTGGATTCAATATATGAAGAATTATCATCTTTCCTAAATTAACTTAAAAAAAATACAAACTAAAATATATAATTTATTTTCTAATACATACTATTATTTTTTTTAGAAAATCGATAGGATGATTTCAAAATATCACAGTTTTTTATTTGTATGGATAGGAAAAGTTTTAAATGGCGTACGTTAGTCATCAAATGTTCTTAAAAAAAATTATAATAATGAATATCATCAACTAATAAGGTTAAATGTTGAAAGAAAAGAGAAAGATTTATATGCAAATTGATGTTTAAGTTAATATTAAAAAATATAATAGAAATAATAAAAATCTTTAAATAAAAATAAAATATAAAAGTAGAATGATCATATTTACTAGCATATTATAATTAAGTAACTAGATACATTATTTGATGTGTTATTATTAAATTATTAATATGTATTTAACAATAGGAAATTTTTTTTATTTATATGACATATTTAGTGTAAAATTCTAAGTATATATATATATATATATATATATATATATATATATATATATAAACAACGATAAAAGAAGTAAAACTTAGATAATATTAAAAAAAAAATCTCTTTCTAATTTATTTATTATGTTTACGTATAGAATTTTATTCATGAAAATTCAATTGTTTTTAGACATCAGGTGTTAGAAAATTATTCGAAATTTGGCATTCGGGAGCTAAATTCAGGTTTGATTTTTTTTTTTTTCGTTTCCTGTGCTTTTAATTTATATTTTATATTTAAAAATAATTAATAACTAAATTACAGATATAAATGTAACTTCTATTTATTAAAATATATAAATAACATGGAATTCATTTTTAATTTTAAAAAAATATAATTATATTAATAAATTTAAATTCTACATTTTTAAAAATTTAAATAAGATTAATTTGTACCTATGATTTATTTTATAATCAATTTTAAATTTTGAATAAAGTTAATTTGTATTTATTAAAAATATAAAAATAATTAAAATAACACTGCAACGTTTTTATAAATTTTAATAATATTAATAATATTTATTCAAAAATGTTGTTCGCAGTCAATAATCATCTTCTAGCATGTATTCACAATATTTATTATAAAATAATGTTGTGTTTTTTTTTCTATATTATTTTTACTATATTTAATATAATTGTTATAATTTTTTAAGTAAAAATATTAGAGGTTGAAATTATAGTAGGATATATTAATTTTGTTAAACATGTTTAAATATTTACTTAAACTTAGTTGAAATAATATTTTATTAAAAGAAAAAGGTACTTCGAACCAAAATAAATGATACTAAAATAAGACAATATAATTAGAATAAAACTTATACATGTTAAAAAGAAAAAAAATAGTTAAGGTTATTCTGGTATCGAATTCTACTAATTTATAAATCAAGAATTATCTTTCTGGGTTAGCCTCCACAATTTTTTTTGTTTTAGATATTATCCTATGATTCTTCATGTTGCAAGCTTAGATGAATAACTTATGTTTTTTCTTAAGACTTGATCATGTGAGTTACATTAACATTAATT